GGCATTTGTTTCTTCTCGCCTTTCCGACGGCTCAAAACGGCCCAAGAGGCGTCTCCTCTTCCTCTTCATGTTCATTCTCCCCCACGTGTTCCCCGAAAGCTTTCCAAACCGATTCGGGGAACACATGGTCCGATAGCTTGGCAGGCCTCTGGCCACAACGTTCGGTCACATAGGCGCTGCCGAAAGGGCAGGGGGCGGCGGTGATTCGCAGTAGGCGTGTTCGATCCGCCGCCCCCTGTGGTCTTGCCACAGGGGTGCCCGGCGTGCTAGACGCTACCGTTTTTGGTTTTGGTTATTTTTCCCAACTGGAGCTCCCGCCAGTCCCACCGGCCACCCGGAAGAGCGCACAATCTGGCGCAAACGATCACAACGTCTGCAACAAGCTCTCCAAGACGGCTCAAGATAGCCTCCAAGACGGCCAAGATGGCCTCCATGTTCGCCCAAGATGGTCCAACATGGCCTCCAAGACGGCCCAAGAGGGTGCAGGATACTTCCAAGTCCGCCCAAGAAACCTCCAAGACGGCCCAAGACTGCCCAAGAGGTGCCTAGCCTCCAAGACTGCCCAAGATGCCTCTGAGAGGTCCTCCACGAGGGCCCGAAGAGGCCGAAATCATTAATTTTCCTTATGTTTTTGACGGATTGTCGTATTTGCTCCTTTTCGGCCCAAGACGGCCCAAGAGGCCCCCAAGAGCGCCCCAAGATCGCCCAAGAGGCTTGCAAGATGGCCTCAGGACTGCCCAAGAGTCCCGTAAGACGCCCAAGAAAGCCTCCAAGACGGTCCTTGAGCACCCCAAGAGGGCCCAAGTCAGTCTAGAGAGGTCCCCAAGACGGCTTCCGACGGCGTCAGACGGACCAGGAGTCCACCAAGACGGTCCGAGAAGGCTCTAAGGTGGCCCAAAACGGTCCAAGAGGCCTCCAAGAGGGCCTCCAGGAAGGCCCGAAGAGGCCCAAATCAGCGATTGTCCTTTAATGTTTGAAAGATTTTGGCATTCGCTTCTTTTCGGCCTGCCGACGGCCCGAGACGGCCCAAGAGGCCCCCAAGATCACCCCAAGATCGCCCAATAGGCTTGCAAGATGGCCTCAGGACTGCCCAAGAGTCCCGTAAGACGCCCAAGAAAGCCTCCAAGACGGTCCTTGAGCACCCCAAGAGGGCCCAAGTCAGTCTAGAGAGGTCCCCAAGACGGCTTCCGACGGCGTCAGACGGACCAGGAGTCCACCAAGACGGTCCGAGAAGGCTCTAAGGTGGCCCAAAACGGTCCAAGAGGCCTCCAAGAGGGCCTCCAGGAAGGCCCGAAGAGGCCCAAATCAGCGATTGTCCTTTAATGTTTGAAAGATTTTGGCATTCGCTTCTTTTCGGCCTGCCGACGGCCCGAGACGGCCCAAGAGGCCCTCAAGATCGCCCAAGAGGGCCTCCAGGATGGCCCCACGACGGCCCAAGGGCCCCCCTAAGACGGCCCCAAGAGGGCCCTAAGAAGGCCCAAGAGGCCCCCAAGACGCCGAAGATGGCCTCCAAGACTGCCCTGGAGCACCCTGAGAGGGCCCCAAGTCGGCCCAGAGAGGCCCCCAAGACGTCTTCCCACGGCGTCAGACGGGCCAGGAGCCCACCAAGACGGCCAAAGAGGCCCCCGAGAAGCCCCTAAAGGACCCCAAGAGGCCCAAGGAGGCCCCCAGGATGCCTCCAAGAGGCTCCCAGAGACTCCCAAGATGCCCCCTCCTCCTCCTTTTCCTCCTCGTCCTCGTCCTCCTCTCCCGCCTCCTCCAAATCTTCCCCCGCCATCCTCCCCCAAGTGTTTCCCGAAGGGTTTCCACAACGGTTGGGGGAACGCATAGTTCGATAGCTTGGCAGAGCTCTTGCCACAACGCTCGGCCACATGTGCGATTCTAGAAGGCAGGGGGCGGCGGTGACTCGGCGTACGCGTCTTCGATCGCATTTCGTAGCCTCAAGCTGGGGACGAGGACGAGGAGGACGAGGAGGACGAGGAGCACGACGGGGACGAGGACGAGGGCGGGAGCCGACCTCGGGCGGACTCTGGCCGGCGGGGCGGCGCGAGCCACGGCGGGCATGGGATCGCTCCCGGCAGAGGCGCAGGCTGTCATTCCGCTGGAGCCCCTTGAAGATGCGCAGTGCCTCGCGGGGGGGCGGGAGGCAACACGAGCAGTCGGCAACTTCTGGAGCCAGCGGCGACCCTGGGGCACGAGGTGGCGAGCAGCAGCAGCAGCAGCAGCAGCAGCAGCAGCAGCAGCAGCAGCAGCAGCAGCAGCAGCAGCAGCAGCAGCTGAGACGCGGCAGCGCGCGTTGCGCACCAGATCGTATGGAGGAGGAGGAGGAGGAGGAGGAGGAGGAGGAGGAGGAGGAGGAGGAGGAGGAGGAGGAGGAGGAGGAGGAGGGGGAGGAGGAGGGGGAGGGGGGAGGAGGAGGAGGAGGAGGAGGAGGAGAGGAGGAGGAGGAGGAGGAGGAGGAGGAGGAGGGTGGCCGCGGAGGAGGGCAGAGGAGGGATCCGCGCTCAGAGCGTGCAGCACGAACCTTTGGCTACACTGCACGCATGGGTGACCTTTGATGCGCGGCCTGCCCATCGTGGCATGCCGAGTGTTGCATGCATCGTTGCCTGCTCTGCTAGATCCCCCTAAAGATGCACACGGGACATGTTTGGCAAGTTCTGGCTTTCGGGACTGGGCCCTGGGTCTGTCAAACCACGAGTCGAGATGAGAGAACCCCTGGAAAGAATCCAGACCTCAGGCGGCCCACGCGACGAGGAAAATGACGAAGTCTGGAAGACAGCATGGCCGACCCCCAAAAAAACCCGAGCCCGACAAGTAGTGATGCCTCACTCTCACCACCGCCGCCTTCCGCCAGCAGGCCCGCCGCCGGGGCTTCGGGGGACTTCCGGAGTCGGCCGTGCCGCGCGCCGGCCTCCTGGCGAGACCGTGCGCGCCCGCGACCGGCAACAGCAGGGCTGCAGGAACAGCGAGGAGGAGGAAGAGGAGGAGGAGGAGGAGGAGGAGGAGGAGGAGGAGGAGGAGGAGGAGGAGGGGGAGGAGGAGGAGGAGGAGGAGGAGGAGGAGGAGGAGGAGGAGGAGGAGGAGGAGGAGGAGCAGCAACCTCGGAGGCTGCTGCGCCGATCTCTCGTAAGAGTCGGCGTGGCCTCCCCGGGCGGGCGGGCGCTCCCGCGCCGCCCTGGGCGCGCTCCGCGAGGCAGGGAGGGAGGAGGAGGGGGAGGAGGAGGAGAGGAGGCGGAGGAGGAGGAGGAAGGAGGAGGAGGAGGGGAAGAGGGAGGAGGAGGAGGAGGGAGGAGGAGGAGGAGGAGGAGGAGGAGGAGGAGGGGGAGGAGGAGGGGGAGAGGAGGAGGAGGAGGAGGAGGGGGAGGAGGAGGAGGGGGGGGGGTGGGCCCAACGCCAGTCCAAGACACCCGCGCGGACGGATCGCGAGTCTGTGCTCCTCCCGCGCTTCTCTCCTTCCATCTGCAGGCCCTGAGATCCGACGCAGCGAAAACATTTGGCGCCCGAACTATCCTGGGTAACTCGGGTCCGGGGTAACTCGGGTTTGGATTCCCGAAAAATGAACCCGAGCTAGCCCTGACCCGAGTTACCCCTGATGATTTGGGGCTCTGGACGCCCGAACTGTCCGGGGCAATTAGCTCGGGCCCAGGGTAACTCGGGCTCGAATGCCCGAAAAACAGCCCCGAGCCAGCCCTGACCCGAGTTACCCCTGATGACTCGGGGCTCTGAAAACCTGCAGCATCGTAAACCACCACGCCCGCAACCCTGGACCCCACCTTTCTGCATCACCTCTCAGGGCGGCTCCATCCGTGAGGGCCTCGGGGCCCGAGCGCAAGCGAGCGCGCCCGGCTCGAGACACTTGAGACGCCAGGACCTCAGTGAAGGGGCCCACAACCACACAAATAAATACACACAAATAAACATATTCCCCATATTTTCCCATATTTTCTGGGCTTCTGTCTTCCCCCCCACTTCCCATATTTTCCCATATTTTCTGGGAGTGGACGATTAATTGTGTCTGTGTATTTTTTCCCCTCCTGACTCAGGGGAGGGCTGGCAGAGCAGGCACCGATGCGTGCCGCGAGCGGCCTGCAGCGCAGAGCACGGGCTCGTGGGGGAAGCCCCCGCGGCAGCGTTTTGGGGGCCCTCCAGGCCTCGCCCGCGCTCGCGGCGAACTCGACCAGCCTGACGCGCTTCCCAAAGGGGGCGCCAGCGACAGGGACTTCTGGGACCACGGCGCTGCCTCCGAGACCTGCGAGAGAAGTGCGAGTGGAGGCGTCGTCGTGTGGCGACCTCGTGGGCGGCGCCGCGCGGACTTGAGAAGTCGGCAGCGCCCGCCTCCAGAGTTCCTTCCCCTGGGGCCCCTTTTGGAATCGCATGGCAGCCCGTCCCAGTCCGCCCGCTCGACGGCGTGCACCGGCTCCGAGATCACGCAGGCGCGGTTGGAGAGCGCCAGCGCGACGCGGAAGGCCTCCATCTGCCCCGCGGACCTCGGCGCCGAAGACGACGAAGACGACGACGCCGACGACGACAACAACGACGACAACGGCGACGACGACGACAGTGACAGCGGCAACGTCGACGACGTCGACATCGTCGTCGTATCGAGTGTGTTCGGGCGATTCCAAAGAGGTTCACTCGCCACAGCTGGGCGCGGATCGAGAAATGGGCCGGGGCGGACCCCCCGGATGGGTCCTAGGACCCAGGACCCATCTGCCCGTCGGACCGAGACTTGTTGTCGTGCGACGTGAAAGCGTGCAAGTTGAGGATGATGGTAGAGAACCAAGAGAATGGCACGAACATAGCTGACCTGAACGTGCCAATGTCCGCACGGGTTTCTTGGGCCAGCGCTGGACCCCTCCTCAGACTACTGGATGCACCTCCAGCGCTGCCACCAGCGCGTCCCGCGCGATTGGGAAGGGTCCTGGGGGGGGGTCCACCGTCGACCCACGAAATCCGCGCGGACGTCCACGAGCTTATGATCGTGCCGTCTTGTCTTGGTCCTTGAGATAGGGCAGTCGCGGAAGTACTTCCGCAGCTCCGCGTCCTCATAAATGCCTTTGAGGGTGCGCAGCTTGTCGCCGAAGACGCCCGTGTACTCGTTGCGCAGTCTCATGCTGCGCGCGTGCCAGTCGCCCAGGAAACAGACGTGTTTACCGTTTGCCGTCGTGCTGTTGACGTCGATCCTGGGGGGCAAGAAACAATACCGATACCGCTGCTCCCAGGGCCTCTCCCGGGGCGCATCCCGACCAACACTCCGAGGAGAATCCGGCCGTGGCGACGAAGGCTCTCCGCAACGAGCAGCGGTGTCGGTCTGCTGCTCCCCGCCCAGGTCTCCCAAAGTCGCGCGACGGCGCGTAGTGCGGCGGGACCCAGCGCGCGAGCGCCGTGGTGCTGTACATGCGCATGTTCCGACGCGAGTAGTCCCAGACCTCGCGCGCGCCCGTGGCCTGCACAAAGGGCTCGACCATGGCGTGGTGCTCGGGGTCGGGCTCGGCCTGGCCAGGGAGCGGCGAGGAAATCCGCACCAGCACACTGCGGGCAGGATTGTATGTCCACATCCAGTGCGTCTTGGACTTTCCTGGGGAGGGGGGCCACAAAGCCGAGGCGCACTGGATATGGACAAACATCGAGCCTGCAGGTAGGGGTATGTTTTCGTCTTGATCAGTATCCAGTGCGCCTGGATTTTCTCGGGAAGGAAGCCCGAAACTCCAAGCTGCAGTGGATGTGGGCAAACATCTTGCCCGACGCACGGTCCGGAACTCTTGCACAGCGTGTCGCGGCAGCGGCCCCGGCGACACGCTGTGCCCTGCAAGCGGATGGCGTGCCGCTCCGCTCCGCGAGGCGGAAGGCTGGGAAAAGCCTGGGGGATTGATGCTTCGGGGCTGGGACGTGGACAGCGCGTCTCGCCGACCCGCGATCCCGTGATGGGCCCGAGCCGGCGGCACGACACGCCGAGCCAGAGTTCCCGACCGTGAGCTTCGGAGGCCGGCGCAGGTCTGCAACAGACTCGCCAGAGGAGAGCACGGACATTCCAGCGGGTGCCCCGCAGGAGCGTCTGGTCCCCCCGAGGCCCCGGGGGCACACAGAAGCCTTGGGGGCCGCAGAGCAGGGGCCGCCCGTCCTGGCATTCCTGCAGACCTGCCACGCAACATTGTCGCAGAGCAGAAGGAGGTTCAGATCACACAACCATAGCATCAGCAGATCGGGCCGTTGCTCTGACACAGCACGGTCTTTTTTTTTCTCGGCGCTATGTTGGAGAAGAGGGGGAAAAAGGCGAAGGGGAGACATCGCACCCGCCTGATCCACGTCTCTTCCCCGTGCTTGGGGAGTTGGCAGGCAGCCCATGCCGCAGAGGACTTTGCGCAATTTTGAACAGAGGCAGTTTGGTGAGAGGGAGGAGGGCCTCCTCCTCCTCTCCTCCTCCTCCTCCTCTCCTCCTCCTCCTTCCCTCCTCCTCCCTCCTCCTCCTCCTCCTCCTCCTCCTCCTCCTCCTCCTCCTCCTCCTCCTCCCTCCTCCCTCCTCCTCCTCCTCCTCCTCCTCTCAGACCCGTCTCCGGTTGGCCCTGTCGGCAGGCCAGGGCGCCCGCGCCGCTGCTCGACACCGCCAGGGCGGCGAGCGTGCCCACCGCCGGACCCCCCTGTCGTGAATGCCTGCTGCACGGGGTCGGCGTCGGGCCCGCTCCTCGCAGCCGCTTCCCACGACGCGCAGGGGGGCGCCAGGGGCGCCGTCGATCGGCTGTGCGCAAGCCTGGCGGCGCCCACAAGGGGGTGGCGCGAGGGGGGACGGCCCTCGGAACAGGCAGAGCGAGTGCCTGGGAGGCAGGGTGCTCCCCTATAGACGGCCCCAGAGAGCTTCCGAGAGGCTCCTTTGAAGCCCGCCCCCCCTCTCGCCATCGCTCGGACGTCCATTCCCTGTGTCTTTGTTTGGCTTCGTGCGTGGTTTTTTGCCAAATGATCAGGGATGCTCCTCAATTGTCCTCGCCGAAGGAAAAATGCACACGTCCGAGCGATGCCGAGCCCTTGCGCGCACCCCCCCCCTGGAAGCGTGACTCTAGGCAACAGTGGTGGCCAGTGGCGCACGGCTCCGGGAGGCCGTGGCGCGCGGCCAATATCCACGCAGCCCAGGCGCGCCGGCCACTGCTGGCAGTCCGTGGGCCCGTGCCAGGAGGCCCCTCCGGCGAAAGGGCCGCCCGTGCGCGTCGCCGGGCCGAGCCCGCAGGCACGATGCATATCTTCGGCGGACCTCGTCCGCCCCATCGGCGCGGCCGTCCGCGTCGAGCCCGCGTCGAGCCCACGCCGAGCGCGCCGCGTCTGCGGCGAGTCCGCGGCGGATGCCGTGCGGGATGTGCACAACAACCTCCCCTCACGGCACAATGCGTCTCGGAGCTGCGGGCTCCCTCCCCCAGAAGCTAGAGGCGCTGTGGCCAACTACGGGTACAGATATGGCCCCTGAAGGCTCGACTTGTTACGGTGATGGCATTGGATAAGAAAACCTTAGTGAAGGAGTGAAGGGTCTGGAAGCCAGTGGACAGCCAATCGTGGATTGGCCATGGATATCACCGCCGACCTCATCAGGTAAGGAACCCTCCAGGGTCTGAAGCCTCCTGGGCACGTTCCTCAACCAATGCCCCCACCGTATACGTGCCCAATGCGCCCCAGCCTTTGTGGCGCCCCTTCCCAGAAAAGGCCAGGGCGCAGTAGATAATGGATATCATGCCATCGCTCGGACGCCCATTCCCCATGGATCTGTCGGTTTCGCGCGTGACTTGTTGCTCGACGATCCGGGATGCTCCTCGATGGTCCTCGCCGAGACGAAATGCGCACGTCCGAGCGACGCCAAGATGTAGGTCCTGCCCGCAGCTCTCTCCCCTCCCCTCTCGCCTTCCCGCCATTCCCCCCCCCCCGCCCGCCCCCCTCCCTTGCCCTGCTTCTGCTACGGGGGGCCCGCTGCCTGCGCGCTCGCAGAAGCAACACAAAGAAGAGCGAGGGCGAGGGCGCTGCGCCGAGGAGCCCGCGCGGGCCCCCCCCCCCCCCCCGGGGGACGTCTCGCGAGCACACGCAGGAGCGACCCCCTGGGGCAGGAGCGACCCCTGGAGCGCGGCAACTCGGGGGCCGCGAGTGGGTCAGACGCAGGCGCGCAAAGAGGTTGCTGCCGCACCGCGCTCGGCGCTGGGGGCGACCCTCGAGGGCGCGCACCAAGGGGCACTTAGGCGAAGGGTTCCTCCCACGTGTGCGGGATGACGATTAATAAAAAAGAGAGAACGATAAAACAACATAGTTTTCTGCTACTTCTGCAACAGTTTCTGGCTGGAGGAGAACGGTTCTTTTTTTATAAAGCAAACATAATTTTCCAGCCCGCGGCCGGTTTTTTTCTAATCGTCATCCCGGGCGCCGCCGCGTGAACACCACCCCCGGTCATATATTCATCGCCATCCTCCATTAGTCGAGCTTCTGAGGGGCAACGACAGGGGGGGGACCAGCACAGGAGGGGGGGGGAACCATCAACCTGGAATCGGCGGCACGTCGCCGATAGATGGGCGACGGGCCCTCGATGGCGGATCCGCGCGTTCCTGGGCGGGGTGGGGCCATCGGACCCCCATGGTCGATCAGCGAGCGACTGGGGCACGCTGCATCCTCCCCTCCCAAGACATCCGGCTGCTCCAACTTTTCCGATGCGAGGGCCCCAGAGGGCCGGACAACTTCCTCCGGGCCTGTTTCTCGTTCTGGGCCGTCGTTTGACGCTCCCGAAACTCGGCGAGGGCCCCCAGAGGCCGGAAGCAATCCAAAACCGCCCGCTCCAATTTTCTGGGAGCGTCGGATCCCTGGGCTGTGCCTGTCCTCCCGGAGCGCTGCCCCGGAGCGTCACGCCCCTGCCATCTGGCGGGGCCCCTGCCGGCCTGGTAGTACACGACCCGGGCGCCGAGCGCGCTGCAGTTCCTGAAGGCCGCCCTCGCGGGGCCCGACCAGAGGGGGTGGGAGGATCGCGCCGCCTCGCCGGTGCATCGGCGACGTCGGCGTGGAGAAAGTCTCAGAAGGAACAAAACAGATAAGAGGAGGAGCACAGACACACAAACAGAAACTTTGGGCGCTCCGCGCGGATCTCTTCGATTCGCGCTGGACCCCCCTCCCTGGCGCGCGGAACGCGCCAAAGGCGGCGCCGGAGGCGCCGCCAGGGGGGGCCCAGGCGCGGATCCAAGAAATCCGCGCGGAGCGCCAAAAGTTCATGTTTATGCGGTTTTTCTTTTAAGAAGCACGGCAAGGTCGTGCCGTGACGATGCCGTTGGCTCCTGACACCGCGGGGATCGTTCAACCTTGAACGATCGGCGGTTTCCGCAACGTCCGATCGTTCAACATCGACCGATTCTGCGTCGCCGGCGGCGTTCAACGTTGAACGCTGGCGGCGGGGTCGCCGCCCGTCGACACGACACGAACCTACCGTACCTACCCCGCTTCCCTCGACTTCGCCTTTCTGGGCCCGCTGGGAGGCCCTCGTCGCCACGGCCAGATTCGCCGCGGAATTCTGGTCAGAACGCAGCCAGGGAAAGGTCGGCGAGCAGCGAGGTTCCACATTTCGGGGAACAATTAATGGCACAAACATATACAGCATTCTGGAGCGGAGCTGGATCCCCCCGGCGCGCTCCGCGCGCCAGGAAGGAGGGAGGTCCAGCACAGATCCAAAAATCAGCGCAGACCTCCGAAAGTTAACGATCATGTTACGCGTTGTTCCTCGACAAGTTGGGCTGCACACCAAGCCGCATCGCCAACGCATCGGCGATGCGGTGCAACCCACCGACCGCATCTAGCTCGACCCCACTCGGGCGGCGCCGCAGCTCCGCAGGAAGTCGAGGTTCCTGGGCGACGCGCTGGGGCAGAAGGACGCGGGTGGAGGAGGAGGAGGAGGAGGAGGAGGAGGAGGAGGAGGAAGAGGAGAAGGAGGAAGGGGAGGATGACGAGGAAGAGGATCGGGATGAGGATGAGGAGGCGGAGGAGGACGCAGAGGAGATGAAGAGGAGGAAGATGAGGAGGAGGGGGGGGGAGGAAAGAGGAGGCCGAGGTTCCTGGGCACGCGCTGGGGAAGGAGAGGAATGTCGAGGGGCCAAAGGAGCGAGGAACAGGAAGAGGAAGAGGAAGAGGAGAGCCTGAGAGCCTCCTCCTCCTCCCCGGCGCTCTCCCCCGCCAGTCGCTCCTCAAATTTCCGCTGTTCTTCCGCGTCGTCCGTCTCCCAAGTGGGGGGAGGGGGGAGGAGGAGGATGAAGAGAAGGAGAAGGAGAAGGAGGAGGAGGAGGAGGTGGAGGCGAACGAAGGAGAGGAGGAGGAGAGGAGGAGGTGGAGGAGGTTGGAGTGGAGGAGTAGGAGGAGGAGGAGGAGGAGGAGGAGGAGGAGGAGGAAATTCGAGCTGCGGCACGAAGGTCGGCACGGTCGCCCTCGCCATGGCCACCGCGCCTGCAGGGATCCTGCACAGTTGGACGGCCCCTCGCAGAACCCGGGCCTGGGAGAGGTGGACGCAATGGCCCTGGGAAGCTGCCCCAACCGCGCCGCCCACGCCACCTAATTGGGTCACCTCGCTTCGCGCCTCGCGCCCCGCAGGAGGAGGAGGAGGAGGAGGAGGAGGAGGAGGAGGAGGAAGAAGGCGAGGGGGAGGAGTACGAAGAGCAGGAGGAGGAGGAGGAGGAGGAGGAGGAAGAGGAAGAGGAGGAGGAGGAGGAGGAGGAGGAGGAGGAGGAGGAGGAGGAGGAGGAGGAGGAGGAAGAGGACGCCCCCCGCACGGCATGCAGCCGCAGAGTGGGCCTGCTCCAGGCCACGGGCGGCATGCTCGCAACACAGGGGATACTGAAGCCCACAACAGGCAGCGTGCTTTCGACGTGGGATTTGCAGCACCCTGCGCCGAACGGCAGCGAAAGAGAGCGACGTCACCGTGAACCGCGCCCTCCTCCGATGCATGACCTGGGGCCCCCATGATCGATCCCGCCGACGTTGGATTCAATCCATCCCCGAAGTAGGAAAAAGCCGAACGATCTCTCGTTAACAGCCACAACAATGATCGCAGGATTCCCAATTCCGCGGGGGGGGGGCGATGGGAGGAAGAGGAGTGGGAGAGCCCAAGACGAGCCCACGATCGACGAACCAGACACCCGCGGGATAGCCCTGACTGGGAGCGAGAGGCGTGGGCGACTTCCTCGAGAGGGGCGCGGCGCAGCTCGCCGGGGTCACTTGGAGCTTCGCGGGGCGGCGCTTGGGTCCATGTCACTCACCACTAGCGCCACCCGCGGAGCTGCGACAGATCAGACTTGCAGGAGAGCATGCACATCTGCGTTCTTCTGCGGCGCGAGGGCGACCACAGAACAGAACCCTCACGCAGGCGCTGGCTTGTGCAGGGATGCTGGCCCCGCAGTAGATTGCCTCGCCTGCACCTGGCCTGGGAGTTGGCAGGCTTACCCTCACAAGTCTGAAGAATCTTCTTAGCCCTGCCGCTCGAGAAGGCCCCACATTTGCCACAACACAGGAAGCTGCCAGCACGCAACAACACATGTCGGCGCAACGGTAGCTGCTGGGGGGGCGCCCTCGGGGCGGGCGAAAAACGGACATCCCTCGCAGGCGCCTGTCGACAGGGCGTCCTGAGGAGGGCTGCTTTGCCCTTCAAGGTGCGGGCATGCCTTCCGCAGCCCCAGTTCTGACACCGTCAGGCCCTTCCCAGAGGAGGGAGTGAGATGAAGGGGCGCTGGGACACACAACTAAATAGACACAAGTAACAAGAACCCCCGTGCTTTCCCATAGTGTCCCGGGTTTCGTCTCCCCCCCACTTCCCACACTTTCCCGTATGTTCTCGGGAATCGACACTTCATTGTGTCTGTGTGTTTTTTGTTCCCTCCTGATGAGAGGAGGCCCTGGGAGGAGGCCCAGCCCGAGCCCGCCAGCCCGCCGCCTCGCCCGCGCCCCCACCCTCTGGTTCTGCCGGGGCCAGTGGCGTCTGCAAAGGTACCAGCGTGCATCAAGGCTGAACCTAAACGGCGTTTTTTCGTTTTCCTTTTAGTTATCGTGTTTCCCTCGTTTTGCCTTCCATCCACCATTACCGCAAAACGAAGTCGAAACGAAAACGGCCCACGAACTCGCCAGAACACCGTGTAGGTCCAGCCCCGCCGTGCAACAGTCATGGGGGCGAGGAGCGACAGACTTTCGCCGAGAAGGGGAAGGGGGTGACTGATCAGAGCCGAGGGTTTTCAAAGGATTGCAAAAACAACGGATCGAAGGATTGCAAACAAACCCAGGTTTTTTTGAAATCCTTAGGGTTTTTTTTGCAATCCTGGTTTTTTTGCAATCCGTTTTTTTTTTTTGCAATCCGGTTTTTTTGCAATCCTTCGAGTCCAGGGTCAGAACAGCGGCCTGCAGCCGCGCGAACCATCTCCTTCCTAAACAAGGCCGTGGCTGCAGACAGCACGCGCAGCGAACGTACGTAGAGAAAGGCGCCCCATTTCCCACCACACCGACACCGCGACGTGCCTGACATACTCTGATCGCCCAGCATCTGCTCAGGAGGTCGACAGCGCGTTTCCCCGAGGCGGCCTGCAAAACAGCATGCCTGCCGCCGCACAGCACAACCTAGTGTAGAATAAAAACACTAACCAGCCTCGAACACATTCAACGATTGAGAATCCGAAAGGCGATGGCAATCTCAGGGACGTGCCCTGAGAAACTGAGGGGATCCCGAAGATCGGCATCGAGATTGGGCGCTGCCAGTCATAGGGGCAGGGATGCGTTCGAGGCTGGTAACTGGAGGCCACGCCATCGCAGTGACAGCATAACCGAGAACCTGACAGCGTGGGGCGTGCTCCCAATTGGCCGCTACTCGCCCTCCGTGGTATCCGCGGGCTTGTGCAAAACATGTTCTTGGTCTGCGGGGCGAGAGCGCACCTCTTCCGGTCGAAGCTAAGCGGGCCGCGCGAAGCTTGAAAGAGGCAGAGAAGAGGAGGCAGGAAGCGGCGGAGCCACAGCGGGCTTGTGCAACGCACGCAGCCGACTGCGTTCAGCGGTGCGGCGCATGGCGCTCCCCCCCCCTGAGGCCCGAGGGCGGCCCACACACAGGTGTGGTCCGCCGCAGCCCGGCAGCGAGGCACCCCGCACGGGCGCCCGAGGCGTCGGAGACGCGCGACCCTCGAGTGGCCCAGCTGCCAGGGACGGCGCGCGGGAGGAGACGCGGCCGCAGAGGACGGGAGGCAGAGGAGGAGGAGGAGGAGGAGGGGGAGGAGGGGGGGGGGAGGAGGAGGAGGAGGAGGAGGAGGAGGAGGAGGAGGAGGAGGAGGAGAGGAGGAGGAGAGGAGGAGGAGGAGGAGAAGGGGGAGGAGGGGGGGGAGGAGGGGGGGGGGAGGAGGAGGAGGGGAGGAGAGGAGGAGGAGGAAGGAGGAGGAGGAGGAGGAGGAGGAGGAGAGGAGGAGGAGGAGGAGGAGGAGGAGGAGGAGGAGGAGGAGACGTTCCAGGAGGAGCGCGCCGGAGCGGCGGGTCAGGGCGGGAGCGACCCGGCAAGGGACGCGGGGCGGCACTGCAGCCACGCGCAGGGACGGAGGGCTCGAACACGCTGCCTGCCATCGTGCCCCGCCAAGTCAGCGGCGGAAGCGAATGGGTCTTCCGCGAGCTGGCACGGCGACCTTGCACGGTGGCCTACGCAAGCCACCGGCGTAGCACGCCGCAGAGGAAACGAGGGCGCTCACGCGAGACCTTAGGCTGGCAGCTTACGCGCCAAGATAAGTGCAGACGACCCCGTCTTTTGCGACGCACAGGTGCGGATTGCACGGCCACCTGGTCCGAGCCGGTTCTGGTCAGCCAAGCTGGCCTGATCTACTTGAGGGAGGCATGACGTCATGAGAGGATCAGCCAGGGACCATCTACCCCATGGCCAACCATCAGGGAGCCGTTGCCAGGACACAAGCCACCCTCCCACCCCACCCGTTCGGCGAAGGCTCCCCCTCCTACTCCGAAGCACCTGCAAACCCACTCCCGTATCCTCTCCTTCAGGTCAGCAGGGTGGAGCGAGCGGGCAAGCGAAGCACCGAGGACGCGCCTGCACTTGGGCGGGCAGGCGGAGGAGACCGCAGATGAGGAGGAGGAGGATGAGGAGCAGGAGGAGGAGATGAGCCAGCCTTCATGGGAGGCCCTGTGGACCCCCACGGCCCTATTATAAACGTGACTTCGACCAAAATTTGTCCAAACTTCGCCCAAGTTTCGACCGGATTTTGACCCGCTTTCGACCGGATTTGGTACAGAATTCGCCAACCCCACAAACGCAAGTCATTTTGGGACCCTCTGAGACTCCCATGAAGGACCGCACAAGAGAAGGAGGGAGGGAGGAGGGAGAAGTAAAATGGGCGGCTACCCCAGCCGCGTGGTGGTTCACCGCCTACGGGAAGCCTCGTACGTGGGTGACCCCCAGCCCTGAGATTTCTCAAGGCAGTCGTGCAATCGCGACTAATCCCCCAGGTGACGGGCCCATCACTATTGACCATCAACACTGGGGATGGCCGCGAGGAGAAAGGAGGAGGATGAAGAGGAGGAGGAGGAGGAGGAGGAGGAGGAGGAGGAGGAGGGAACCGGAGGAGGAGGATGAGGATGATGATGATGAGGAGGAGGAGGAGGAGGAGGAGAAGGGAGCAGGAGGCGGAGGAGGAGGAGCAGGAGGAGGAAGGAGGAGGAGGAGGAGGAGAAGGAGGGAGGAGGTCGAGGCTCCTGAGCGACGCGCCGGGGCAGAAGGCCACCACCCAGTTCGACTCGTTCGCCGCCGTGGGAGCCCGAAGCGCGGCGAGCGTGTGGCCGATCGAGAACTGGTTGGACACCTCTGAAGGGGCCCACAAACACACAAATA